TTCCGAAAGTAAAATAGGGTTTATTATTCCGGATGTTTGTAATTTCGAAAATAAAATAAGGTTTATAATTCCAAAGGTTCGTAAAAACAACATCTGACGATGATGGCACTAATTGTTGACACGCGATGTGGTTTTGTTATAATACCCGCATCAAATAGTTTTACGTAGAACGAAATTCGACTGATCAGTCAATTCTACCTTTAGCATTTAGTAGACCTTTTATGCACCTTAAAGAGGTAATCCGCCCTGATATTTCATCGGTTATCATAAAAATAGCACTTGTGCAATCATTCTTTTGAGGATTAATTTGTAGGATTATATAATTATATATAGAAAAAGACGTTTGTGATTTGTTTTTTAGAACGTACTCTTAATAAACCTCACAGAATTGCCAATTTGTGTTTGATCGATTTCACATTTATAATAATAATAAATTTATATAGCGCAGCTTTTATACAAAATATTTTCAGCTGCGCTGGTTCAGAGCTCCTTTTTTTTACTAAATTCTACAAATAGGATCTCTCAATTGAACAAATATGTTTTTAATTTGTATTTAAAGACATTGAGAGATGGAGTGCTTCGTATTTTTATTGGCAAGCTATTCCATAGTTTGGGGGAAGCAATTGCAAAAGCACGGTCCCGAGAGTTACTTTAGTTTTGCCATGGGGAATCTGCAACAATAATTTATATGTGGAACTGCGCAGGCTACGACTGTGTGACTGGACTTTGAGTTGAAGTAATTCTGTTACATTCAAACAATTCATAAATTTCCTATTTCATATTAGATTTTGCTCAAAATTCCACGAATCTGATTCTCTCAGTTTTGCTGCATTTATTAATAAATTAAAAAATATCAGATAACGTGTACCATGGGTATAAACAAATAGAAAAATATAAAATGAAATAAAATCAAGTTTTAAAAAAAGGGACGAGATTTTTTTTTAGAGAGATCCGTGTTTTGCTAACAGTTCGAAATAAAAACATCTTACGAAAGATAAGAACGAAATCTTTTGTTGTTGAGCTCATTATAAATGCACTAGGAACATCCTTTGTGCGGTGCCTTCGTAAAGTTTGATGTCATATAAAGTTAATTCCCTTACTGTAATACCCAGTTGCAAATTTTGACCATGCAGTTGGTAGGCATACATTAGCTAGTCAAGACTGTTTGCCCCATACTTTACCAACCTTACCTTAGTTTACCTTATATTTTAGTACATCTGAGCGTTGTATTAAGCTGATATTCAAGAGCTTTAAGACCAAATTTGAAATGAAATGAAATGACACGCTTGATGGCAAATTATGTGCAAGCTCCAAAGGGCTTGGCAACGTAAGGAACTTAAAGTGCCAAAGTACTTTGGATTTTCGAAGTTAATATACCTGCTATAGTTAGAGAACAAATGGACCTCGATAATTTTATGAACACACTTGCAGATGAACAGCGAACAGTCAATATCACAAGGACAATATCCGGATGCACCTGCCGACACAGGTGATGCCGTATGCATGATAGTAGTGATAAAGATGAAAATCATCTATTATTAACTCAGACACATTTGGTGGCAATGTATGTGCAAAGCTCCAGTCGACTTGGCAATGTAAGGACACATAATGCCAAAGTACCCTGGGTTTGCCTTCTTAAAAGCAAGATAGATAGATAGAGCTCTTCAACAATTATTCATATCTTTCTAATGTTTAATCGGAATTTGCTCAAACTATCACTGATCTGTAAAACAGTTGCTCTCAAACTAACTGAATATCAGGATGTGTTTTCCATTATTACGCCCATTGCGGACACGGTATATCTCTCCTAGGCACTCTTCAGTGCACGTGCCTGGATATGATTCATCAGGCTGAGGTTTATACGGAGACAGTAGTCAGGATAGTTTCCAGCGACAGCCCATCATGATGACACCATCTTGATGGGGGTAATGAACTTTGTTAAATTGGTCGTGCTTCAATCAAGCGCCTGCGATCGAGCTTGGTTAAAGTTTGTGTGGCTCTTTTGCACTGACTCCTGAACCGAACAGACGTATCCACTGGAATGATGAGGATGGATTACCCTGATACATGTCCAGTGAGTATTAAATGCTTGGTGTGGTGTCTAAGTAGATGCCCAAATTTACTTCATTGGTGTAGCTACCCAGGTGAGGTAAATGGATACCTGGCAGGAATTAATTCCTTGAAATGCTAGAGCGCTGTAATGGCAGCTATAGGCTAAAGCCGGTGTGATAATAACAATGCGCCTCGGAATAGAATTTCTAGATAGACGGCGCTATAGAAATGCCTATAATTATTAATTATTATTATTACATAGTGCACACGGTGCCGTCGTATTTTTAATATAGGTTTTCCCGGCCAATTTCGTAAAAGCAGCAATCAATTTCAACGTGCATTCATGTTCGAGCAAATTTTCTCCACTCGTAGCTCCCCTGTTTCATTTTTTGTTTCGAGTCACCGAATTTTCTAAACATGCACATTCAAATTTAAACTTGGTTCAATCAATTTGGAAATGCGTAAGGGTCATTCAATTTCGCCAATGTTGAGTGGGAGGTGAATTCTTTAGCGAATTGCGGTTTCATTTTCGTCTATGGGCAACCTCTTTCGCAATCGGGTCATTCAAATTAAAACTAGACCTCCTAATCATAGTATGAGGCTCGATGTTCATTCGGATATTCAGTATTTCATGTTCATTTATTTATTCTTTTTTCTCTATGATCTTTTCTGACATGATTTCAAATTATACAATCTTTTAATTTATCTGATATATTTATATTGCATTTTATGTTTTCTCTTTCTTTCGACATTCTTTATTTTTGTTGAAACGTCACTTTATTCATATCTTCATATTTTTCATTATAAATGCCTTAGGGGTTATGTTTTAAATAGTTTGTTTTGTTCAATCTTGATTGAGTAGGTGATCTTTCTTTCTTTTCATTTAACATCTTTTTCTTTATTCATCATTGTATTTTGTTTCCATCATGTCCATGTCTATTAAACCTGAAATAACTCTCTGTCCAAGATCTTGTGCTTAGAAGAGAAGTCACAAATTGTGCACCTTCTCTGGGGACAGTTACCTGTGTAATGACAGAACGAATACGCATGTCATTCCTCCAAGTAAACTTTGCATAAAAATATTCAAACAGAAGTATATTAAGTGACAAATTAACATCAAATGGAAAGCAATACACAAATGTCACAAATGTATGCCTAATCACGAAGTTGAATGACATACCGACGTTTGTCCGGCGCGAATTTGAATGCTGTTCGCACGCTTTTCTAAATTGAATGCTCGTTTTGCACTTCTCCGTGACAAGAGTATGAAATCGCATGCTACTAAATCAAATTGAATGATACAATTAGCTTTTTGAATGTACACAAACAATCCTGATTGCATACCCGAGGGTCTATTTTCGGTAAAAAGAAAAAGAAATAGAAAAGGGTCCAGTTACTTTCGTTGCATTAATCCAGGGTTCTTGGGGGCAGGAAGAGAATATTATAGAGAGTAAAGCATTGAAGTAGATATTCATTGATTTTAAAAACTAACTTCATTTTCAATATTGCAAAGTTGAAACTATGATTCGACAAGGTTATCAAAATTCAATGCTTTCGAAGCAATGATTATTATAAATTACAAAACGCTTAAATACAGCCCCGGCATAGCACCTGAAGAGCTCTCCGAACGCTGCTGAGATGTGTATGGACATGATTTGCACAAGCAGACGATGTCCCATGACATCTCACACATTTTCAGTGCCTGTGTTTTCATCTTCTCTTGAGTTCTTTCTCATACTTTACTACCGCCAGGCAAAATGTATGATCTATTGCCTCACTCTAAACCCCGCGCATGGTTTTATTTTGATCACAAATGCAGCGATACAAAAATATAGGAATCTGTCGCTTGTAAACAAAATAAGACGCCATTGTATTTTCAGCTGCACACACCGCGGTATGTTCGGCGTTTCAAGAGGGAACAAAATTATGCCGTCCTTAATATCATTCCAGTTTTTTTTTTCAATTTGAAAGTCTGGTTTCTTTTATTGTTAATTAACCCCTATCCTGTGTATGTACAAGCAAAAGATTTTAGTTATCAAAATCGGGTCATATCCCCTTTTGAATGGTTTGACATGCCATTACATTTATATACACTAAACTCATTATAATTTGACAAATAATAACTTTGCAATTATGTTCATTCTTTATGGGATTTCGTCTGCTTGGGCAGTATTGGTCCATATTGCAACGTAATTAAAACATCGTTATTTTTCTGGCGAATCTCTCGTATATCCCAGCTACTATGGAGGTGTTTGTATTTGTATTTTTATAAATCACCCGATATGTAGTTGACCTAAAACTTGTACGATGGCTATCTGATAGCTTACCAGTTTCTAGTGATACATTAGTTGACATAATTATGTGTGATTTTCTTTGAACTTCACCTTTAAACAATGGCGTAGCGTGTCATTGAAGGGGGGGGGGGTTAGTCTAACGCCTGGACTGTTCTCTATTCCTACGTCTTAGCGGCGTGCGCGCTCGCTCACACACTAGCTAGCATATATATATATATATATATATATATATATATATATGTGAAAATAAATAAATGAAACCGTGTGATAGCAGTCAAAATTACTCATATTTATGCGTACTTTTTATTAAAAGTTTTTCTGAACCTAAAAACTCTCCAGATGCTTGCCAGACATGTGCATGGCCAGCTAGATAGGATGAAATCGACCCGACTTCTTGGGCCTCTCTTTGGGAGGCTCTGGGCCAAACCCGCCAGCTATGGTCAGGCTCTAACAATCTTTAGGTTAATAATAGAGCTAAATGGCCTACATAATGTTGAGGTTTAAAATATAATGGATGAAATAGGGTGACTATTCCGGGACAGACTCCTAGAATCGAAACCACACGGTTCAGTGGTTTTACGCTTTTATGCTACACCACAGCAGGTAATATTGAAGGCATATCCATTTGTGCTCCAGTAAGTTGCTCCATTCGATCGTAGCAAGGTCTTCAACGAGGGAAGCTCGGGAGCTCTTCTTCGGTCGATACAGATTGTCCATATACCTGCAATTCCAGTAGAATAATCAATACAGTTATATATACTCATCAAGAAGTGTAGCACGAACACCTGGGCCTAAAAAAGTAAGTTATTTCCGCCTCAAATTTCTCTATTTTAATACGAAAACGTCAATCTGTTGACAGGCGCGAGCGCACTTTCGTGATATCATGACTCGTGAGATCTAAATCCATTGAAAGACGAATATATCTGTTGTGTAACAAAACTATTAAACACGAAGCCTAGATATTTAAAGAACTGCATGAATGGTTGTTTTTCCATGCCTACAATTCAATGACTAGACTCCCATGGATAGCAACCATGCATATCGTATGAACTGTGCGTGTTTTTTTTCTAGGTCAGCGTTTTTAATCAGGATTGCTGCAAATCATCGCTGGGAGCCGGCTGGTGCCACGTGAATTCTTGTGATATCATAAATTTTGATATATTCGGGCAATCACCACCTCATAGTTGAACAACAAGGTGCGCCATAATCGATGAGAAAAGAAAATTTCAAAGATAACAAAGTGCCCTTATCAGCCCTTGATTCGCTCACTCGCAAATGGTTTCAGGCCGCAGCAAAGTGCCCGAATATTCGGCAGCAAGATGCAATATATCAATTGTATTTATTATATCAAAACAAAATACAACAAACTAGAGGGTCTATTTACTTCCTTCCTTCACTTGCTCGCGGAATAGTAAAGTGTAGATTTGGCTATTACCGTCCATGCTGTTTGAAGAATATCGATATACAGTACACGCCGAAAATCTCCGCAACACGATTACACGATTTATTTTTAGGATTACACGGTTTACACGATTCACCTGAATCGTGTAACTGTGTAATCGTGTAAATTTACACGATTGAAGAATGTCGCTCTGAATCGTGTAATCGTGTAAATAGTTAAGTGCATTGGTCAGATGATTCGACCAGATGTAACAATCGTGTAACTGTGTAATCGTGTAAATTTACACGATTGAAGAATGTCGCTCTGAATCGTGTAATCGTGTAAATAGTTATTAGGGTTATAAGGGCATTGGTAGAACGATGCGACAAGCTGCAACAATCGTTAAATCGTATCCTGCTTACACCAATTGCTTTATACACAACTTACCTTCAGTGTACATCAGTTAATTACTGTACTTTATATTCGTGTATATATAAACCTCAGCACTTTCCACTAACATGTATCGTATACTAATCCGTGAGACAAGGTAGGAAAACGTCAAAAACAGGAAGACATGATAGATGAAATAGTAAAGGAAAAAAGATAGCTACGAGGAGAAGGGAACATATAAAAGGAAAATGAGGGTTGAAAGGCACGATAAAGATAAACAGAAAAAAAGAGAGAAAAAAGGGAAAACTAAAAAGTTGACCGGAAGAAAAGAAAGAGTGAAATAGAGTGATAAAAAAAAAGAAGGGCGAAACCTAGTAAAATTAACAGAAATGAGAAGGCTATGAAACGGAGAGGAAAAGAGACAAATTAATAAGGTAAGAGGGGAACATAATGAGGGAAAGAGAGGCGAGAAAGATATGGGGGAATGGAAAGATATTGAAAGAAAGAGAGAGAGTGAGAGAGAGAGAGAGATAAAAAAAAAAAAGCTTTAGTTGAAAGAAAAGGGGCACCGATCAGATTTTAATAGGGGCATTTATCGGAGTTGATGGGGGCATTTATCAAAAGTGAAGAGGGGTACTTCTCGTACTTAAAGAGGGATACTTACTAGATATTAAAAGGACACTAATGAGAATGGAAAATGGACACTTATTGTAAAGGAAAATAGGAACTCGTCGAAGGAAAGGGGGTGTGTGTCAAAAGAAAAGGAGCACTTATTAGAGTTGAAAAGGGGAAGGGGCACTTACAAATTAATAAGGACACTTGTCAAAGTAAAATAGGTACTTTTCCTACATACAAAGGGGCACTTTGGGGGAACTTGAAAAAGTGGGGGGACACTGTGCCGCTAGCTAAACGTAACTCAAAGACAGTTGGCCATTCACTTATTCTATTCATTCTCGGCTTGCAACTGTTCCCTACACTCTGTAGTCAATGGCTTACATACTTACATACATGTAATACCTATTGTTCAGGGGGATCCTATGTTCAAGGGGAACCCCCTGAACAATAGGTATTATGTAAGGAACTCTGCCTGTAGCTAGGGCAACGGCCTTTGTCCCCGGCGAGGGTCAATGGCAGGCCACATTCAGAGTAAGCTTCTTTTGTATGTGACAGGAAGTGTGCCCTTAAGCCTTGACCGTAGCTCTTTATACATATAGCTGAATAATGCAATGTTGTAAAAGGTAATTTACGAAAATGAGGAAAGCTAAAAAAGCAATAAGTGATCAAAGTCTAAGGCCCGAATTCACAAAGGAGGTTTGTCGACAAACCTTGGTTTTCGTGCGTCATATGACGCGTTTTTACAAACCAGGTTTGTAAAATGGATAATGATTGAATAAAAAAAAGTATAACGATATTCATAGTAACGAATGAGCTGGTGAATCGTAATTCTAATTGGTACAGCCTTGTAATGTAAGAGTATCACAACATACTTAATTATGTTAGCCCTCCTTTACATTTTGTAATCATTTTTACTTATTTACAACTTAGGAATAACAAAATTCCCCCCTTCCTTCGTCGTTCATCGCTTTTTTCTTTTTTCTCACCGAGGATTAAATCCGAGAGTGCTTTTCGGAAAGTGGACTGATTTTTTTAACTTTCAAACATTCTATAATAAAACTAGAGACAAGACACTGCAATTAAAAATATATACAAGAGAAAGAAAACGTAATCTTCGCTATCCCCTCGTATCGTCCACGTTGTCCTCGTTCAACCAAGAAGTAACTTCTTGCTTTTACTGAACTAGACGTCCTTAACCTGCTCACCATCACCACTGAAAATAAATTGTAACACAATTCCAGCGAGCAATCGAATCGTGTAAATTTTGAATCGTGTAATCGTGTTGCGGAGATTTTCGGCGGGCAGATTACACGATTACACGATTCGACCTGAATTGAGGAATCGTGTAATTTTACACGATTACACGTTTACACGATTCAAATTTCGCTTCATTGGCAAAAAACGAATCGTGTAAAAATAAATGGTTACACGATTCCCGCGAGCAGTCGAATCGTGTAAATCGTGTTGCGGAGATTTTCGGCGTGTACTGTAACATCCACACTAGAAAGGCAGCCCCCCCCCCCGAAAAAAAAAATACCCTTAAACATAAATGCCGACAAATACGAACAAGTGCGGACATGGGTGAAGTAGTTTTCTTACCAATAGAAGTTGTTTTTATGTGACCTCATTTCTCCTAACGATGTTGCTTGTGAAATAGCTGCCCCTTTGTCAAATCAGGGACCCTACCCATGGCCAAAACCAGGCACCTCCCTGGTCAAAACAAGGAGCTTAAAGAGCTATCTCATATGCTTTCACACTGGTAACATTTTCCTCGGCCCCAAACTATCAGTGAGGCTCAGGGGTAGTACAGGGCTTCGTGTTCACACTTGGTTTTACCAAAATGGGCTAGCCCCACCGAATTTACGGGGAAAAGGGCAGGGTTGGGTTAGCACCGCAATTGCTATTTCGTCTCACTTGAGCTCTTAGCAATTCCAGTGCTAAGAGCTAAAGTGAGAACAGGGTCAAAATAACCAGGGGCTAAGGAAAAGCAGTGCTTAACCCGTGAAGGCAGAAAAATCCGTATCCAATCAGGGATAGTCCGGGGTTTACAATTTGAGAACAGGATTGATTACCCAAGCCCGGGTTGCGTAAATCTTAAAAAGATGAGAAAACCGAGTGTGAAAAGCATAGGCTCCTTGGTTGGAGAAAAAAAACAGACTAAAGCTACCCGTGGTAAAAGTAGAAGAAGTTATTATTTCAGTTGTGATTCATAAAGCTCAGGGAGGACGATGCTAGTAAAAAATCTCTGTTATAATCTCAATTCTTCTGTATACTGAGATTACTGTTGAATGTGTCTCTAAAATTACATTGAAGTTCGGATAATGGTCCTGTAGATACAATCGTGTTGTAATTATTTCGATGAAATGATGCCAACTCAGCAAATAGTCGGTGGCCACCCCAATCTCGATTCTATTTATCACACTTCATGGTTGGCTGATCATGTTTGTATATGTATATGTCATATTTATTTCCTACTTTTCTTTTCTTTTCGTTAGAATTGAGCGCTTATTGTTAGGATAGTCCGAAGTCGAAATAAATTGAAAGACGACAAATTAAATCTGTGAATTCAATGAGAGTTTATTTATTCTAGACGGAATTAATTTGATAAGGGATCATTCTTTTTTCAGTGGTGTTTTTAATCCTTGCTTCGGGAGTTGACTTATCGGAACTTGTTAGCGATATTTTTGTTGGCACAGTTATTGCGATATTATTAAGTCTCTATTTCGTGTTGCTTCAAGATTGTCTGTACAGATAAAGTTGTTATTGGTAAGAATTTGGGGATACAAAATACAGGTGTATATGAAAGCGATCGTTCCACAACAGCCATAACGGCACTAACCTAGCGTTCCACAACATCAATGATGGTAAATTTATATGATGATGACGGTGATGGCGATGATGACGATGACCATGACGATGATGAGGGGGAGGAGAAGGAGAAAAGATGATTATAATAAATACAACTTCTACTATATAGGACTACTACGACTACTGCCACAAATACGATGACTACTAATTCTTAGAGTAATAATGATGATGATAATGATGATGATGAAGAAGACAATAATAATAATAATAATAATATCGATAATAGTAATAATAACAAATGTAATAATTTGAAAAAAGCACTTTCATCACTAAAGACACCTGTCTTCGCTTTGGAAAGCAACTAAAGGGATGTTCGCTATTTTGTAAATCTCAAGTCCAAGGGGATGAAAACTATTTCCACGCGATGTACTTTGGGGGAATTCAGCGGATTTGCGAATACAAAATTGGCACCGTGCCAAAAGTGCATTCTTAGGAAGAGGCAATTTACAAAAGTTCATGAGAGAACAAATTCACTCGGTAAAATTTCTTTCCCTTATATATTAAAGGGCACCTTCTTTTCTCGTTGGACGCGTAAGTAAATTTCT